TGAGTTAATTCAGACAGTTCTTTAGAACAATAATTCTGTCGAATGTAGAGCTGTTTAATTGATGCTCGATCGAGTTGTTTTAATGAACGTCGGTCATTTTATCCTAATGAGTAGTGATGTGATCGTATCGATGTTTTGTATAGTCGGAAAATTTAATTAGCCAGCAAAATACTATGCCAAACTTGACAATTTACACGTTTTGACAATAATTTATACGTTTCAGCTGATAAACTCTCCACTCATCTCGTTATTATCACTAGGTGAATTATTATTTTTGTAATTTGGCGTATTAACATTTATATTTTGGTGGATTAAATAGAACCAACCTTAAAACAATGATAGGGACAATAACGGGTCATTGCCTCCTAAATAAACATCTTTTTGTCCTAGGCGCGACAGACAGCCCCCTGTGCAGAGGCTGTTTCAGCGCAGAGGAAACAGTCACCCACGTAGTCCTGGAATGCGTGGCTGTGGCTAACCAACGTGAAAAAATCCTCGGAACGGTGAGGTCGCTCCGGGAAGCCTGTGAAGTGCCCAGGAGACTTCTGTGCTTTTTGAAGGAGCTAGGCTGGCTAAATTAGCCAGGACTCGTACGCACAACGGACCAATTAGGAGTCTAATTGCGGAGAAAGGAGTCCAACTACCCTACCCTACCCTACCCTTTGGTTGATTAACACACCGTGTCAATGAAAACTGGAAATCGAGGACTGTGAGCGGAATGAAAGGCTGTAGTAGTCATTTTATTAAATTATGAGACTGAACGTCTAGGATAATTATTAACGCTGCTGATTACATAATATTTTTGCTGTGACTACTCGTACAGCCCAGCATCAGTAAGCTTCCATTTCTTACTTACTGTCGCAGCTTAATAGTTTTCTCGACTCTTTGCCGGAGATGACCTATTTGTGAAGTGTATGAGGGAAGTATACTTTGATATAAAATGAAATTAACGTACGTATAGATTAGTGTGACAAGTAGTTTCATACATATTGTATAAAATATATTTTCAATTGTTAAAACTTGGCATATATATTAATTAAATTTTGAACATATTTTTTCTAAGTGTGGTGTGGTTACATTTATACACCGCGACCTTGAAAGGATTTTCACATATCATTTCTTATCTTATCAATTCTGTTATCGTGTTTAATAATGTTCTTCATATTTTGCTTTGTCCAACATTATTTGCTTGTAATATTATAGTTTGTATTGTATAGACGGAAAGCGCCCTTGTTTTACACTATTTAGCTAATATAAAGCACCTTTTGTGAATCAATCATGTTTTAATCCGTAACTTCTTATCCAATTAAAAGGCTTTTTATCATTATTATTTTAGTGATTTAACTTTACCGTTGTACACAGCACAGCACTAAAAACCGTTTGGTAGCACGTCATTTTGCGAAGTTAAGGGCCTCGGGGGCCTAAAGTAGAGTAGAACACTTAAAGCTTATTTATGATCAAAAAAATTCAAAAATCATTTATTCACGTAGGTAACACAACGTACACTTGTGATTCGTCATTAAAGAAATACATATTAATGCTTCTAATTTTACATTTACTGCCAGTTCTCAAATCAAGGGCGTAGAACGGAAGAGAAAAACTGGCAATAAACTCTCCGCCACTCTTTTTAATCGCCATGTTTTTTTTACACAACGTTTGTAAGGAGCTGCAACCATCAATAAGGTAATGTTACATGATATCATATAATATAGCAATTTCAAACTTTAAAGTATAATGTATAGTTTAGTAGCATTTTTTAAATGTACTCATAGAAAAAAAATATTAAATGAAGAATGTACAAAAACTATAGAGATGACCAGAATCAACTATCCACAAAAATATTAGGTCTTGATGTGTAATAACTGTGCACGGTTTACAACCTAATAATGATACTAAACGGGAAAAATATTAAATTACATGTGTCGGGAATACTCAACATAATGGAAAATTGACCAAACATAGGGCTCATTATCTTAAACACCCATCAGAATGTAAATGAAAACTCGTGTAAAATGTAATTAAATTATTCAATGTATTGTATTTTCCTAATTAACCTGAACTCAGACAATATACGAAATTAGAGTGCTCACTCTGATCTCATGAAAAGTGACAAATGTTCATGGATCATATTATAATGAGCTCACTGTATTCGTTTTAGGACTAAGGCGAACTACTTACTGATCCGTTAGAAACAAGTCATTAATGAATAACGAAGTAAGTATTCTGTATATATATGTTAACGTAAAATTGTAAACACCGTTAGATTGTAATCTATCTCATATGTTTCATATAACTAATTTTAAAGCTGTGAGTTACTTTCAACATGACATCAATTTACATTCATCAAAACAATCAATTTACATTCGACAACAATCGAATTAACAAACAAATATGGTGGCACGGGGCATATTCCGTTCAACCAATCAGCGCGCGAGGTGCGATCCGTTTCACAATTTGACGGTTTCAATTCGATAGATTATAATCTACCGAATAATAATACGTTAAATTGTAAGCAGTTGTCTTTCGACAGTTTACAATCTCGCGAGATAGATTACAATCTAACGGTGTTTACAATTTTACGGTGACATATACATACATAACATACCCATGTATGTAACCGGCGCTTTTAAACGTAGACAAGTTATTTGATTATAATCCCGTTTAAAATATACACACATTCGTTTATATCGGTACCGTTTGAATATCTGAAATCTAATATGATGTTTTTATATACAGAAATATATGAGATTTAACAAAATAAAGTTATATTTTTTCTATCGTAAGGATCCGAGTCACGTTTGAAACAGGTTGTATGCTACTTCCGTTCGCGGTACTACTTCCGGTGAGCTTCCTACAACATAATTACCACTTCATACTTTCCTTGTATTTTATACTTCACATTTTAATAAAAACTGCGAAATTTTCTTTTCATCTGATGTTATAAAACGTAGAGTGTAATTTTTCGTTTTACAAATATTTCACGTTTAAAATATAAAGTCCTGGTTCAATACAGTTTTTCTGTTCAACTAAATCTTAAAAAGATCAAATAAAAAAAATACACACAACAAATCTAAAACCATAGCCTGCATAAATTAAACAATGTTAAATTGTTTTCAAGTGCCAAGTAAAAACTTTAAGCACCGAAGTAAACTTTGTGGTGGAAATTTCAAACATGGAACGTCAAAGTTTGGAATGTATGAAATACCTTCAGAAGAGGCACTATTTGTCAAACTTCAGCTGCTGAAGGTCAGGCTAACTTGCCTATAATAAATTAAGGGAAATTTGTAAGCGTACTGTCCTAGGGGACGCTGGTCGTGTCGTCTTCACTAAGATGAATCGGATATTTGCATATTATTTCGTCCTACCTTGCCAACGAACTTTTGAATTATTCCTCGATATTTTGCTAGGTTTATTGCGCATATTTATGTATTTGTACTATTAGTATGTCTAGTAGGTAATTCATTTCAAAAGGCTATTTGCATCTTTTGCGACAAATTATGTCAATAAGTTTGACTTATATAATTTGTTTTTAAAAAATTCTATTTACGTACAACAAATACGGACAAATATTACAAAAAAAAACGTGTGTGTACCTACTTATGTACACGCGTTAGAAGTTATACTTCTTTGGCGTAACAAATTAAAAAAAATTCAAAAATATTATTCTACGTCGGTAGAAAAAGACGGTGTGCGCGCGCATCGTAAAAACTTACTCTCGTCATTTTTCCCTAACACGCCAAAAGAAGTATTAAAAAATATAAATATTATTAAAACAAAAAAAAGCGAAGCGCATAGTCGAATTGAAAATTCCTCTTTCAACAAAAAGGTTTTTGTAACCAGTTTTAAAAATTAACTATGATATGGAATTAACCAATCAGTTTGTTAATGAAGAGCTGGGAACCCTGATACAGGTATATTTTACGTAAAACTGTCCCAAATCTTACACATTTTAATGCATCGTTATAATTAACAAGCACATTTTTATATTTTTCATTCGGTTTTTTAAGCGGTTATAAACACGCAATACAAACATTAATGAGGGAAAAAAATATAAATAATGTATATTGTATTATATAGAATAAACTAAAAATATAAGCCTCCTTCCAAAAATCATGGACTAGACTATATATTTTAGTACTCACGAACGATCGTATATCGTGTCTCACTACTCACGGGGGTCGTACGCTAGATATTTAAGGTCCATCCAATCTAAGCGTGATCACTTGAGATATTCCCTGAAATCCCGAGACGATCAGCTAGATTCGACCTTTATTGAGAGCAGAATAAAATAGTAGTGTGTGATTGATACAATTTTTGTAGGACCTTACATTTTTGATTGCAAAGACTTTACAAATCCAATTGCAGATGTAAAAATTGTATTTATTTCGCAAGAGTACTTACATCAAGTGAATGGATAAAAAGCTTTAACTTTTTAAAGTCATAACTTTTCCTTCCTTATCGAATCCCTTAAGGTCTCTGCAGTACGGCTTTGGAATTCACTTCTCATATTTGACTAGCTCTTTCTCGATCTTCCTTTAAATCTCTATTGTACAAACATTACCTATCCACACGTATCCCTAAATTTTGTACTAACTGATGTGAAACTGATTTAAATTATAGATTTCTAAAATTTGAGATATAAATCTCACTTGCACGTGCACTTTTTCTTTTTCATTTGTCCTTTTTTAAATATTGTGATGTTCACTGTTTACATATGTTTTAATTTCTTCGTATTGTTCCATTCGTTTTGTATATACGTCTTATATATTTTTGCACTTCTTGCGCTTGCCTTATCTGTTTTTCTCACATTGGTTGCCTGAAAGAGATCGCTCGAACGCGATAAGGCCGCCTGTTGACCTACTTTTCATTTAATTATGTCACCTGTATATGTAAATTATATTTCTGTATACAACGAAGTGTTAATAAATAATAAACTGACTTATTATTTATTAACACTATGTTGTCAGACACAAGTTTCCTTTAGTTGATAAATTTTCATCATGCCCCAAAACCTTCCGGTGTATTCGCCACGTGCGTATACAAGGTAATGTTTTAAATATAAGAAAACATATTACACGTTTTCAGAGAAGTACAAAAAAGTAAAATAAAAGTACAAACCTGAGTGCATAATTATTCTTGTAAAGTAGATGAATACCACTATCTTATGCAACCTCCAGTTACTCCAAGATGCCTTATCTTGTTCTGTTATACACCACAAAGGTGATAATTTCTAACGCATACACAACTCTGATAGTGGGTAACTTTACCCCTATACGATTTAGATAATAAAAATCGCTAAAGAGCTTTTTTTACTGCTTGTTTGAAGGTGAAATTGTGTTTGTGATTAAATTAATCCTATGTGTTTCCTTTGTTATGAACTCAAATGCATTGAATGCAATGAATTTTTAAATTTTCTAGATTTAAAAGTTCTAGTGACATTTTGAACCCAAAATCAAGTACTATAAATATTAGTAAAAATAATTTTATTCTGAAAGAATAAAATAAAAGAAAGACAATCTTTATTATACGGATACCGGCAAACTTCTTGAGCAATTAAACAAAGGAGTGAGGGAAAGTTTGCACATCGTATCGCAGCGCGAGACACAAACGTCAACTGATGTAGCAATCACGCGATCGACACGTCACCCAGTGATACCTAAAATTCGCTTCTACGCAGGCAAGGACATTTGTTCAAGATGTTTGCCGGTATCTGTACACAATATACAGGATATTCAGGTAAAGTAAAGTGCACTGGCCCCCTAGGATTCCCTGTGTTGTGGGCAGCCAGTCTCTTCCTTTTAACATGTAAACAGTATTTAAATTTATGATTTCTACATAACTCAAATTAATATTTAAACTATTTCATAATATATCCATAATCACAATGATTAATATTTAAAAAAGGCTAACACCTATTAAACTATTTTTTTTATAGAATAGAGGGCAAACAGTCCGGATGCTCACTTGATCTTAAGTGGTACCGCCCATGGACACCCACACTGTAAGAAGGCTCGCAAGTGCCGGCGTTACTTATTTTACAATTTACAAATAGAACTGTCACGGATTCATGCGTAAAATGATTTACATAACCCGACATTTCGAATGCTTTACCGCAGTCGCGGTCAGTAAACTCTGGTAAATAATGTAATAATGTTGCGTAGGGTTATGAAGATTTATTCAAATGTTTCTCGTTAATTAATTAAATATAAAAATAAATCAGAGGCGCTACAACCTCAGATTTCTGTATCTGTTTCATGTTCATTTGTCAATCTAGAAGGTTAGTAGGTGATCAGCATCCTGTGTGTCACAACGTCGACTTTTTGGGTCTAAGGCAAGCCGGTTTCCTCACGATAATTTTCCTTCACCGATCGAGAAAATGTTAAATGCGCACATAGAAAGAAAGTCCATTGGTGCACAGCCAGGGATCGAACCCACAACGTCAGGGATGAGAGTCGCACGCTGAAGCCACTAGGCCAACACTGCTGTTAATTAATATATTGTGAATATGCTTGGAATTATCACCACTGTAAGTTTTTAATCTTTGGCACCCTCATAGAGAGCATAGGTATTATGCAGTCAGTAATGTATGAGAGTCGCTGCTCACCTGTTTGTTGCTATCTAGGCCGAGGAGTTCACGTTAGAAAATCAAGGATTATCTTTGACATGGGGAAGCTTAGAAAATGAATTAAGTGCAATTACCATACAAGAGTAGGTACATAACTTAAATGAAATATGATTTCAAGCATCAAATTAATTGTAATGACTTGCATGTACACAGAAATAAAAGAGCTTATGACAATTAAGACCTTTAATTTCAATAGATGTCATCATAATATATATTTAATTAAAACCTGCACAGCGTGAATAACGTCAGTGGCTATCTTGAGACCCTCAAAAAAAAGGCACTCGGTTCCCCATTTTTTTTATTATAACTGTTTTGTTTTAGTAATTTTTATCATTTATTTATACCACTATACTTTCAAATAGACATTTTATTTGTATGACTTCAAAATTATATACAGAATCTGAAATATCAATAAATAGTATAATAGTTACAACTGTAGTAAAGCGTTTTTATGTTCAGTTGAATTAGACAATGGGAAATTATAATTGTGGGTTTTTTTTTAACCATAAAGTCTTTTTAACCTTTGCCGCCAAAGTCAGTTCGAATAAATAAAAGCGAATGGGGACAAATTTTATTAAAAGAACAGAATTTAAAATTTGATACTAGTTTAATTGAAAATCTCAGAACAAAAGAGCCATAATAAATTGATTCCACTAAACTCATTCAGATTTCATTCGACAATAATTCTATAATCCGTAAAATCTGTAAACTTAGTAAACCGAGATTTAGGGTAGGGTTGTCACATATAAAATTAAATTACGAGTCAATTAACATTGTGATTAATTTATAGTCCCTTACCGATTAAAACTTATACCTATCAACTGAACCGCTTTCGACCTCCAATAATCGTAAATATTGTAGCACCTGGATCGACGGGCGAGGGTGATCTGGGTGACTGGGCGCCAGCATCGCTGGCTCCAGAACTGATGCTTTCCGTGCTCAACAAGTAACTTTCGCAATTCATCGAGGAAATGCTGCCAGCATAAATAGTTACAGCACTTAGAAAATTAGAAGCTTTATCGGTAGCAAGTATATAATGCAACAAACACTAAGATAAAGAAAAACTATGTTAACAAATTATCATATTACAGCTAGCTAAAGCTAGCATATAAAAGTTTCATTTTTTCCTCAAAAAACCCTGTTCTTCCATATATAGCAATTGCCAACCCTATTTTTCGCGTGGATTGAAAGCGCTCAAAACGCTTGTAGTATGATTGAACTAATTGCTTCTCAGATCTCAAAGACATCAAAGAGTTTGAAATTATAGATGCTATTGTTAGATTATTAATACAATCAAATTCGACAGAGCTAAAGATATGTTGAGAAGACACGATTTTGCTGAGTGCTGAGTGGTTTCTCGTGGGTACTTTAAGACAAATTACAAAGTTTTGGCTAATAAAGTCTTCACTTTAAAAAATTTAATGAAGATATTCCCCCGCCCCGTTCATGGAACTTCAAACAATTTTCAGCTATTGTTTATCGCCCCTTATAGAAGTATCGGAAACAAGTACCCCTTTGATTGTTGGCTCTGGTTTTATGCTTCTAGAGGCAGCACAATAATTAAAAAAAACAACCATGATGATCGCGCTGAATTGAGCAATTATAATGAAGAAGAAAGCAAACTCAGGATGAAATATTCGATGTAACTTAAGCTTGTATTAATTTATTTTTTCACAAAAATTCGTCATATTACGTCTTAAAGTTGGTGGTGGACTTGTGATGACTGGTCGTACTTGAATTCGTGTATGCGGTGATGTCAGTTGTTTTGACTATGTATTTGCGTGTTGTTCCCACGAGAATGTAAGTACGTGCTCCTATTTCACCATGCCTCCTGCTGATAGAGAACAAATCTTTGTTTTTAATTTATTTTATTATTATTTATTCCTTAAGATGTCATGTGGAACATGGTGCAATGGTTGCAGCTTCTTACAAACGTTGTGTAAAACCAAAACTTGGCGATTAAAAAGAGTGGCGGAGAGTTTATTGCCAGTTCTTCTTTTCCGTTCTACGCCCTTGATTTGAGAACTGGCAGTAAATGTAAAATTAGAAGCATTTAATGTATATTTCTTTTTTTTTTGACGTTCATAAGTGTACATTGTGTTACCTACATGAATAAATGATTTTTGTTTGTTTGTTTGTTTGTACACCCAAAATCGTCAACATCAAACTTACAGAAGTATCTCTGAAACCATGTACCCTTTCTGGTTTTGTGTTACTAGAGGCAGGTACAAGAATTAAAAAAAAAACAAACATGATTCGCTGAATAGAGCAATTATAATGAAGAAGAAAGCAAACACAGGCCGAAATCTTCGATGGCTAACTTAAACTTATATTTATTTATTTATTCACATTAATTCGTCATATTATGTCTTGAGTACACCCAAAATCGTAAACAAACATAGGTTTATCACCTTGACTATATATAACAACTAGCAGACCGGCCAAGCGTTGCCGTGGCTAAGGTTTTAGTTATATTACATAGTAGTAACCTATTCAAGGGAAATGGTGAAAATGGTGGTGGTGGTGGACAGTCATGGGGACCACCATGCTTTTTTGGTGGTAATGCCATTAATTGTAGCTTATTTGAAACGTTGGTACTTTCAACACAGCGCCATCTGTTAGAATTGTGACTATCAAATAATAAACAAATATTTTGCAATAAATTGCATTGCGGGTATAAATTGAGATGTAAGCTATTCTATCTTTTAAGTTGGATCAAACTACACACGGTGTGCAAATTTGATTGAAATCGGTTCGGTAGTTTAGGAGTCCATAGCGGACAAACAACGTGACACGTAATTTTTATATATTAAGATTACGTTTCAAATAGACGCAATATGTCTTATACTTCCTAATTCCATGCGGACAAAGTAACAAGCATCAGCTCTTTAAGTTGGGGTTACCAAGTAGAACGTCTATCCCCGAAACTTTGGAAGATGAGGGCTTTGTAACCGCTTTTAGTGAATTAAAACTTACACAACTCCGCTGATTGGTGTTTAGCGAGATCAAAGACGAATTACGTACTCATAAAAAAGGTCTTGAAGTTCGTTACATATTTATAATGCAACTAACCTAAATTTTGTATGGATGTAGGAGAAAAGTCAAATATTCAATATCAGTTAGTGCATACTAAAAGCATCATCGACAATGGCCTGTTCGAAAAACATATAAAACAGAAAAAAGGTTTTTATACGAAAATCGTTGATTTTGCTTTATCATTAGTGTATTAAGCAAAATATTTAATTATTATTTTATTAATGAAATGCGTACTAAATTAGTTTCTTGGTACATGAAACATGTGTTTGAAGAGAAAACATTTTTGAAGTGAAACTTCTTTATCGAGGTTGGAAAAAAATTTAGTGTAACATTTTTTCGTTACGCGTCACATTTTTCGGTTACGCGCCATGTTGCTTTTTGAAGTCAAACTTCTTTATCGGCGTTGGAATGAAACTTCTTTATCGTCGTATGGGAGAAATTTTGTAGCAAATCGTCACGTTTTTCAATGATAGTAATAGTTCTATTACAATTAATGAAATTATATAATAATCTTCGTAGTAATAAGGTAAAATGAAATATTTGTATTCATGTCTATGATAATAAAAGCCTTTTGTTAAACTTTATCTAATTTAACGAATTTCTGTAAAGTTGCATATAGTAGATCATTTTTCGAAAAATAAGATCATAAAGAAGTTTCACTTCTTACGTGTGTACACCTAGTACACGCACAATTTATTTTTAAATACCTACTATTATACATTGTGAGAGATACAGCCTTTTCATGCCTATCCTGGGTGAGAATCCGGACGGTATCAAAGAGGGCCCACAAATGCCTCCAAACCTCAACATCATAGCAAATTATATACTTCAATCTCACAGATGTATATTATTTTAGATATAAAACATGAACCACAGACATCACAAATTCACTGAATGAACGAAATTGAATTCAAGTAAATTAATTTTATGTTTTATTAATCGCTGGTTAAAATAATTAAATAATTTTACATCAATTGAACGATTAAATATGAATGTTTATGTAATTTAAATGTACATATGGATGATTTTGTACATAAATTACCTAGTATAATTGATTGAATTAAAATTATATTACATGATGTATGTATACTATATTAAGGTATTTTCGACTCGATTTCTGTCAATAACACTCAATCTCATAATTCAAATTGATAATCTAACGGTGCGTACAGACTATATAACATAACATGTTATACAACATTGCTATACAAAATGTTTCAGATAATGTGGACACTGAATGTTATAAAACATGTTATAATAACATGTTATTGATATGCAGCAGCACCTACGTTTTTTTGTTTTTCTTTTGTTATGAAAATGGTTATATAACATTGTTATATTGCATTGTTATTTTAATGTGTACAGTATTGTTTTATGTTATAATGTTGAATAACAAGGTTACATAATGTGGACGTGTTATAAAACACAAGTTATATAATATGTTACATAGTCTGTACGCACCCTAATAAATAAAATTCTCGTGTCACAATGTTCGTTCCCATACTCCTCCGAAATGGCTGGACCGATTCTTATTAATTTATGCATATTCAGTAAGTCTGAGAATCGCCTACGTGATAAGAAGTGTCCACCCCAAAAAAAAATCTTTTTTATTTTTTTTTGTATGTCACATATATACACATACATACCGTAATTTTCACCCCTCTACGATCAACCCCTATTTTTTATTTGTTAATTAAAAAGTTATGACTGGAACTCTGAGGTTTATATGGAGAAAAATTCACAGAAGAACCGAAAAGTTTTCATTCCGGAAAACCGATCAGTCTCTGGAGTAGCATAGCCAAATGTTCCATGTTGGTATGTACTAAAAAGGTAGGTTAAGTGAAATCACATAAAGATCACATTAAACGAAGTTAGCTGGGACAGCTAGTATAATATAATATTTAGAAGTTCAAAGGCGCGACCTTGGGGTTCAAGTGCACAGGCGCTAATTAAAGATTTAAGTTGACGCCTGGACGGTGCCGGTGACCCTAGAGCTGGTGCTTTCCTTGCTCAACGAATAAGTATCGCAATACAGTGAGAAAATGCTGCTAGCATTAAAGGTTTAAAGATACACTGCTATATTGTTCATATATTGTAAATTACTCTATATTTGTGTTATTAAATATATTTCCATTTCCTAAATATTTGAATGAAAAAATATTTTATTTTTTTATTATTAATAATAATCAGTGGCGCTACAACGTCTTTAGGTCTGGGCCTCAGATTTCTGAATCTGTTTCATGATCATTTTTCAATCTAATACGCCAGTAGGTGATCAGCCTCCAGTGCCTGACACACGCCTCCGACTTTTTTCTGGGTCTTAGACATGTAGGTTTCCTCACAATGTTTTCCTTCACCGTACAAGCATGTGTTAAATGCGCACATAGACTGAAAGTCCATTGGTGCACAGCCAGGATTCGAACCTACGATCTCAAGGATTAGATTCGCATGCTAAAGCCTCTAGGCCAACACTGCTCGTACTGTTCAAAAGCCGAATAAAAAAAGCATACCGATATCAAAAATGCCTCCAAACCAATCTGATTTCGCTATTATAACTAAAGTACTCTTCGTCTCTTTCTGTCAAATTGTGTTTATACTGAGATGATAAGAGATAATGAATGCCTTGTAATGGTTGCTATTAAAAAATCTAAAACCTCGTTATAGAAAATCTATTGAAAAACCAACCGTTTGCATAAAACTGCCATAACGTGCACCAAGTCGGGTGTGACGTCATAAATATGCGCTGACGTCACCGAGTCACGTTTGAATACTCTCAAAGAGTCGCTCATAGTTTGTGCAGCTCCCGAATATCGATGAGTTTTAAAATAAAATCGTTGAGTCAAATGTCAGCTTGAACCAGTTCAAACATGCTTTTTACGGTCGACAAAAATATTATTGTACTACTGTTAGCGCG